CCCCCCCCCCCAAAAAAGCTCCCAATTTGGGCCGAATCGCAGGTTAGGAAGTCTCCGACCCAACTCTGTGACATGCCATAGAATCGCCTCGAGGACTTAGATCAATGTTTCTCAACCTTCCCAATGCCGCTCCTCCTGTTGTGGTGAACCCCAACCATAACATTATTTCCATTTTATTTATTTGTCGTATCAGGGCAACCAGTCAATTGTATTACATTTCTAACAGAACAAAACAAACAAACAGACAAAACACAACATTTGCAAGTTTGGTAGTGGATTAGATGTCCTTTGACCAGTATCTGGCCACTTGGAGTGCCTCTGGTGTTGCCTCAAGGAGGTCCTCCCTTGTGCATCATGTGGCAGGGCTCAGGGTGCATTGCAGCAGGTGGTCAGTGGTTTGCTCTTCTCCGCACTCGCATGTCGTGGACTCCACTTTGTGGCCCCATTTCTTGAGGTTGGCTCTGCATCTCGTGGTGCCAAAGTGCCTTCCAAGTCGCCCAGTCTTCTGTGCCCAGGGGGGAGTCTCTCATTTGGTATCAGCCATTGGTTGAGGTTCTGGGTTTGAGCCTGCCACTTTTGGACTCTCGCTTGCTGAGATGTTCCAGCGAGTGTCTCTGTAGATTTTAGAAAACTATTTCTTGATTTAAGTCGTTGACGTGCTGGCTGATACCCAAACAGGGGATGAGCTGGAGATGTCTCTGCCTTGGTCCTTTCACTATTGGCTGCTACTTCCCGGCGGATGTCAGGTGGTGCAATACCGGCTAAGCAGTGTAATTTCTCCAGTTTAGTGATAGCCTTTGGTGACCCTTCCAACACCTTCCGCTGACCTAGAAACTTATAATAATAATAATAATAATAATAATAATAATAATAATAATAATAATAGAAAGTGAAACCACGACTATAGAACTCCTGAGGAATTGCCGCCTTCACAATCCCAAATTGGAGGTCTGATGAAAGGACTGCAAACCCTATCATCCCCCACTTTAATGCCCTGCTCATGGACATTGTGATCCAACTGAAGGCAGAAGAATGAAGGGTCTAGAAAATGGTCAGTTTCCTGATTCCGGGAGGGAATATATGACTTTGCTCTATGGTGTTGACTCTTCTTTTCAAATTCTGTTTTTCTGCCACGCCTGCCTTTCTTTTGTGGAGCCATTTGGCAAGAAAATGGAAAATGTAAACAAGGAAGATCCGGCCCCACATGGCAATATTTCATTATATTTTGAGGGGTTCACAAAGGAAGGCATTGCAACCAAGGATGGAAGGGCAGTTGGGACTAAAATATATTATTTGGCACAGACAGTGGGCCCTTTGTTGCGGTATTATTATTATTATTATTATTATTAGATTATTATTGTATTCATTATTAATAATGATACGTTATTATAGTTGTTTACAGATATTACGATTATTAATAATGATACGTTATTACAGTTGTTTACAGATATTATATCTTGTTGTTGTTGTTGTTGTTGTTGTTGTTGTTGTTATGTTACCACGAAACATTCAGCAATTTTGCCTCCTTTCCTACCTCCAACTACCTTGGCCTAGTAGATAAATATATATATGAAACTGGATGGTAATTATACAATTTCCCTGATATGGTTGTACTACAAATCCCATCATCCCTACTCAGCCAGGTAAGGAATGACGGGAATTTTAGTTTAATAGAAACTAGCAATAACGGTACAGGGATCTAGATGGTATTTACATGATTTCCCCAATATGGTTGTACTACAAATCCCATCATCCCTACTCAGCCGGGTAAGGAATGATGGGAGTTGCAGTTCAATAGAAACTAGCAGTAACGGTACAGGGGTCTAGATGGTATTTACACGATTTCCCCAATATGGTTGCACTACAAATCCCATCATCCCTACTCAGCCAGATAAGGAATGATAGAAGTTGTCGCTCAAAAGAAACTAGCAGTAATGGTACAGGGGTCTAGGTGGTATTTACACGATTTCCCCAATATGGTTGTACTACAAATCCCATCATCCCTACTCAGCCAGGTAAGGAATGATGGGAGTTGTAGTTCAATAGAAACTAGCAGTAACGGTACAGGGGTCTAGATGGTATTTACATGATTTCCCCAATATGGTTGTACTACAAATCCCATCATCCCTACTCAGCCAGGTA